CCTGCAAGTACTGTACCTCAGTAGGATACGGTGACAGAACTGTTCCCGTCAGTACTGAACCACAGCGTCATACACTGTCAGAGCTGTCCCAACCAGTACCGGACCCGAGTGTTATACAGTGACAGACCTGTCCCCACCGGTACTGTACCCCAGTGCTATACAGTGACAGACTTGTCCCCACCACTAACGTAGCCCAGTATTATACAGTGCCAGACCGGTCCCCACCATTACTGTACCCCAGAGTTATACAGTACAGACCTGTCCCCATCGGTCTTGTACCCCCAATGTTATACTGTGATAGACCTGTCCCTGTCGCTACTCCCCAGTGTGATACTGACAGACCTGCCCCCACTGGTACTGTACCTGTCTTATACGGTGACAGACCTGTCCCCACCAGTACTGTACCCCAGTGCGAAACAGCAACATGCCTGTCCCCAACAGTACTGTACCCCAGCGTTATACAGCAACAGACCTGCCCCCACTGGAAGTGTACCCCATGGTTATACAGCGACAGACCTGTCCCCAGTGGTACTGTACTCCAGTGTTATACAGTGACAGACCTGTCCCAACCAGTACTGAACCCCAGTGTTACACAGTGACAGACCCGTCCCCACCGTTACTGTACCCCAGTGTTACACAGTGACAGACCCGTCCCCACCGGTACTGTACCCCAGTGTTACACAGTGACAGACCCATCCCTGCAAGTACTGTACCTCAAGTAGGATACAGTGACAGAACTGTTCCCGTCAGTACTGAACCAGTGTCATACACTGTCAGAGCTGCCCCAACCGGTACTGTACCCCAGTGTTATACAGTGACAGACCTCCCACCACCAGGACTGTTCCCCAATTATAGAGTGACAGACCTGTCCCCACCATTACTCTACCCCCAGCGTTTAACATTGACAGGCCAGTCCCCGCCGGTACTGTACACCAGCGTTATACAGTGACAGACCTGCCCGAACCAGTACTGAACCCCAGTGTTACACAGTGACAGACCCGTCCCCACCGGTACTGTACCCCAGTGTTACACAGTGACAGACCCGTCCCCACCGGTACTGTACCCCAGTGTTACACAGTGACAGACCTGTCCCCACCG